AAAAAAAAAAAAAAAAAAAAAAAAAAAAAAAAAAAAAAAAAAAAAAAAAAAAAAAAAAAAAAAACCTAAAATTATAGTAAACAAAAAAAACTACAAAATAGCAAAAAAAAAAAAAAACACACACACACACACAACTACGCGAAAATATTCAAAATAGTAAAATACTTACGATGTCACTTTCCCGAAGCGTGAAAAAATGATTTCCAAGTCATCCTCCTGTATGCATCAGAATTAAGAGCACACAGAAGAGTCAAAAAAAAAAAGAAAAAATAATAGTAAAATTTAAAACTTATTCCAGCCCCAAAAGACCTGACCTTATTCGATCCTCAATTTGTACACACTTGATCTCGTCACCGACAGCATTTTAGGTGTACCATCGGGCCACAGGAAGTTACAATGATTCCCTCTCTAAGCTCAGACAGGTACAATGAATCAGTCCCGTTCTAAGTCCCTCCCCGGGTTGAGTAAAGGGACAACAATTCTTTTTTTTTTTTCTCTTCTGATTTTTTCCTGCGTCTCAGTGCCTTTCTGATTCCCTATCTTAGTCCCTTTCTGAGTTCCCGAAGGTCTGAGGCCCGCTATTTTAGTGTACCATCAGGCCCGAAGGTCTCAGCGTCATCGTTTCGTCTCGGAAACGAGGGAAAACGCCAGTTCCCGAAGAATTCGGAGGCCGGGCCCCTATATTAGTCCGCTGTAGTTTTCTTGGAATTTGTTTTACTTTTAAACCACTAGTACCTTTGCTGCTTCAGAAACGAGGGAAAACGCCAGTTCCCAAGAATTCGGAGGCCGGGCCCGACGATGGCTGAAATGATAAATCTAATCAGCAGCCGTCGTTTCGTTTCGGGCTCCTGAAAGGGTCGAAGGCCCGCTATTTTCCGAAACGACAAAGGTGACTAGTGGTTTAAGGAAACTCCCCCCCCCCCCCCCCTCCTTTTTTAATCCTCTGTCCAAGTCCTTTTCTGAGTTCAGCCAGGTATAACGAGTCCATTTCTTCCTTTTTTTTTTGGCAAATATTTTTTGTTAATAAATAAAATAATAACGAGTCTCTTTCTGCTTCCCTATCTTAGGCTCTTTCCAAATCCAGCCAGGTATAGCACGTCCCACCTTGACTGGTCCCATCTTATTACAGCAATGACGTCCACGAGTACTATTTGAGGGAACATGGTTGTCTCCAGAGGGTGGCCACCTTACATGTTCGTTACTTTTTCACGGACGTCTTCTCATGATTGCCACTGTGAGTGTTTTCCGTTCAATGTATCAGTCCAACTTCCGGAATTCAGGCAGGTACAATGAATGAGTCCATGTCCCGAGTCCCTTTCTGAGTCCAGTTAGGAAGACACCGAGCCCCTCTCTCTAGGTTCAATGTATCACTCCAACTTCCGGAACCAGTCCCCTTCCAAATTCAGTGCCGGATGACGAGTCCCGTTCGAAATTCAGTGAAGGTTATAATACAAGATGATGCGTCCAGGTACAAGGAATCAGTCCCTTTCGGAGTCCCTGTCTGGTCCCTTTGTGAGTCCATTTTCCTTACTTCAGTGAGGTACACGCTGAGTCCCTTTTCGATGCCCTTTTTTGAGTCTCTCTCTGAGTTGCGGCATCCCTTTTCCGAGTCGCGGCAGGTTTAATATGAGAGTCCCTTCCTGAGTTCACGCAGGTACAAGCAGAGTCCCATTTTCAGTCCCCGTCTTGGTCCCTTTCTGGAGTCCCTTTTCTGAGTTCAGTGAGGTACAATGAGTCCCTTTTTTATGTCCCTTTGTGAGTCCCTCTCTGACTTGCGGCATCCCTTTCTGAGTTGTGGTAGGGTTTAATGAGAGAGTCCCTTTTCTGAGTTCACGCAAGTACAAGCCGTCACATCCTGAGTCCCTCCCTCTATTGATTGGTCCCTTTCCAAGCCCCTTTTCTTGAGTTCCGTGAGGTCACTGAGGTACAATGAGTCATTCTTGATGCCGTTTCCAAGTCCCTTTTTCCAGTTGGGGGAGGTTTAATGACAGTCCCATTCCAAACTGTGGCAGGTATAACGAGTCCCTTTCTGAGTCCCTATCCCCGGGGTCCCTTTCTGAGTGAGTCCCTATCTTGGTTCCTTTCTTACTGAGTCCCCATCTTGGTCCCTTTCTGAGTCCCCATCTTGGTCCCGAGTCCCTATGTTGGTCCCTTTCCCTATCTTGGACCCTTTCTTTGCCCCTTTCTTGGTCCTTTTCTTGGTCCTTTTCTTGGTCCCTTTCTGAGCGATTCCCTATCTTGGTCCCTTTCTGACTGAGTCCCCATCTTGGTCCCTTTCTGAGTCCCTATGTTGGTCCCTTTGTGAGTCCCTATCTTGGTCCTTTTCTTGGTCCTTTTCTTGGTCCCTTTCTGAGTGAGTCCCTATCTCGGTTCCTTTCTGACTGAGTCCCTATCTTGGTGCCTTTCTGACTGAGTCCCCAACTTGGTCCCTTTCTGAGTCCCTATGTTGGTCCCTTTGTGAGTCCCTATCTTGGACCCTTTCTTTGCCCCTTTCTTGGTCCTTCTCTTGGTCCCTTTCCGAGTCCCTTTCTGAGGCCACTGGTGACCACATTCAAGGGAAGATGATGGAAAGCAAAAATGATGGCCACATTCAACGTATCTTTCGTTTAAGGCAAAGATCTCTCTAACAAACGCAGAAAGTCCTCTCATACACCTATATATCATCAATCAGAACCGCTCGGTAAACCGTAGGCAGAGAGGGAGGGAGGGGAGAAGCGGACAACAAACGAGGGAGGGGCCGTGACAAACTGTTTCGTCGGAGTTTCACCTATCTACTCATCAGGAGGTTGAACCCTCAAAAACAGTCTGCAGAATCCCCTACCTAACTGATTACACTGTAAGTGATAAATCCACCGTAACCCCGGTTGCGGTGATAAGCATCAACGACTTCCCGACAATTGATACCCCTCTGAGGTGGTCGGACACCAACCACTGCCCTCAAGGTACCTGTGACCAAAATCAAAGCAGATTTTAATTATCTACTTCAAACCACCACTACCTTTCTCATATATGGGGCCGCGGGCCTCAAATTCAAATTCGGCCGCCACGCGCCGTCGATGAAAAATATCGACGGCAGTGTGGCGGCTATTTTTCAGGAGTAGGCTACTAGATGCCCGCGGCCGACATATGGGAAAGGTAGCGGTGGTTTTAAAGAAAGAAAAAATTCCTCTCATCTTACCCAAAAAAAAACAAAGATGATTTTCCCTCAGAAATAAAGAAAAAGACCTCTATTGTCTTCACCCGAATAGAATGCCCGGTCGTTATAGCTGTATTTGGCACAACTTTCGGTCCAGATGCAGCAATAATGACCAGGTGTTCTATTCGGGTGAAGACGGTAGTAAACGAGTTCCTCTGAAGATCCTGCTTACCGCTAAGTCCAAGAGAAATTGCTGAGGCGGGCCTGGTCCTTTTTCTTTTTCTTTTTCTTTTTCTTTTTTTTTTTTTCTTTTTTTTTTTTTTTTAACATGGGGGCATGGTCCTACTGAGACTGCAATAGGTTGTCCGGCAAGGAGTACCAAACTTGGGCCTAAAAAAAAAAAAAGAAAAAGAAAAAAAGAAGAGAAATACCCGACTTGGGCCTAAACATCTTCACACGGAAAACCCTGAGAACCATAAACCTATTTATAGAAAATCCGACCATTGGTACCAGCCACACGAGCCAGCGAGAGACACAGAGAGGGAAAGAGAGAGACAGAGAGAGAGAGAGAGGAAGGGAGGGATGTACTCCCATAGTGCTGATTATGATTTCGTTCCTTCTTTGAGTGGTCGGGGGGTTAGGTAGCGGGAAGCGGAGTGGAAGGAGGGGGTGCTGATTATGATTTCATTCCTTCTGTGAGTGGTCGGGGGGTTAGGTAGTGGGAAGCGGAGTGGAAGGAGGGGGAGGGAGAGGAGGAGGAGGCGGAGGAGGGTAACTCAACCTGTGTAACTGGGTTAAGCTTGCAGACAAAGAGCACATTCTCTGGGGGCTTCATTTCCGCATCTGGGATGTCGCCGATCTGGAATGATGCCAGGCAACGCAGAATTCAATTAGAGTTTCAAAACAAAAACAAAAAAAGGGAAAAAGAAAAGAAAAGGAAAAAAAAACTCTGTGAGTAAATGTTTGTGTGACAAAACTATTGTACATTTTCTGTCGTTGTCGACTACTGCTCTCAACTCCTTTTTCATTTTCCTTCAATTTATGGAAGAAATGGAGCACTCTTATTATTTTGACTATGCTTTTCCACCTCTGATTGAGTTTGCTTTATTCTTGTTACAAGTACATAGAATGTACAATGTTACTATCAAGTACATAGTATGTACAATATACTATGTTCAAGTACATAGTATGTACAATATACTATGTATATAGTACTATGTGTATAGTACTCTATACTAAGTATGTAAAATATACTATGTATATAGTACTATATACTATGTACTATGTACTATGTATATACTATGTATATACTACTATGTATCTATACTATGTACAAGATACTATGTATATAGTACTATATACTAAGTATGTAAAATATACTATGTATGTACTATGTAC